CGTGTGTGTGTGTGTGTGTGTGTGTGTGTGTGTGTGTGCGTGTGTGTGTGTGTGTGTGTGTGTGTGTGTGTGTGTGTGTGTGTGTGTGTGTGTGTGCGCGCGTGCGCGTGTATGTGTGTGCGCGCGCGTGTGTGTGTACTCACCTCACCAAACGGTTTCTTGTGCTACCAATATTGACATTTATTATTGCAATTCAAACTAAATCTCTACATATATCTGTATGTGAATGGAGCTGCGTGCCGTTATGACGTCACAACGTTCATTATAATATAAGAAAAATTACAACAGAACTTGTATCCGGTACTGGTTTTCTGCAAGCATTAATGGTAAAACAACGTCGTTGTTTTACTTCTGTGTGCTTCTTTATGCGTCTATTTATTTAGCTTCGCACCATCTTGTGATTTGGCGCCTTCTCGTTGCTCGTAACGAGCTCCACGTACAATAGTCGTCAAAATAGTAATGACAGACAACTCTCCTCACATATATTGGTCGAACACTGGCTCGGAAACTCCCGTCTGTGTAAACACTTCCAGAACCACCAGTCCGCAGAATAATTCCCTATATTATAATCGATAAAGGGTCGAGTATACCGCCTTGTTTTGAGAGGTGGGTGGAGCTATGCACTGCCGGGTACGCCCGCTCGGGTTAACTTACAGGAACTAACTGAAAACGTCCTTCTAGACTGAGTATCGCATGATACGATACTAAGTGGAGCAGGGTGCAGCGACCTTTCTTAGACATCGCGCCCGCGGCATATACGTACTCAATCTAACTTAGATATACGCCAAATTTATTAATATCACATTACAAATTACGAAACACGGGTTGATCTATAATTTTCGCGAGAAAATCTCTGGTGGTAGTTTTGTTGTTACAGTATTACGCTGAGATGGACCGTAAGTTCGAATAGTTATAAACGGGTAAGATTTTTTGTCTACACTGCTGCGATCCGTACAACTCACGATCTACAACATCTGTAAGTGAGATACCAACACATGTAACTAATGATGTTTAGAATAGCCACCAGGGGGCAGTATGGTCTGAGAATCTTCAGCGAACAACGTAGTGATCCTCGCAATAATAACGCATAATAACGCAATAAGAACGCAATAAGAACGTAGTAATATCCTCGCAAACTATAGAAGATGAAAATTGATGCGGTGCGTAACGAATAAGCGTTTACTCACATACACCGTCTTGTTATATGAAGCCGTAGTGCGTAGAAGAAGAAGAAGAAGAAGAAGAAGAAGAAGAAGAAGAAGAAGAAAAGCCCAATATATATACCGCCTGTCTGTGTAGTATGGTAATTATTATTTATTATTTTATTAGTTGAGTAGTAATTTTTATATAAGTTTCTCAATAAAATAATGCTATGCTGCGGTATGCCTGGAAACACCTGCGGAAATTTCGAGTGGTTTACGGCACCTCGTCAGCTCGTGTAAAGTTACGCAAAGGTTTACGTAAATTTTAGCTTGATGAATGCGCACCTAAAACGGCCTCGCTTGCGTACGCGAAATCGCTACGAAAAATTTACTAAATAGCTGTGTTGATGGAATCGCAACTAAGCAACGTCGATTGCGTACACAAGATTTACGCAAAATATTTTGCGTACCGCAGCTTTGATGAATCATGAATCTACCCCCTGGACCCCACCCGTCAGTGCAAGCGCACACGGTATCAGCAGTCTACAGTTCCCAGGGGCGTGGTACAGGGGGGGTCCAGGGGTGCCGGACCCCCCCCCTACTCGCGCAGAAAACGCATCTGAGGGGGTCTAATTTCAAAAATTCCTGGGGAGAGCCCCCAGACCCCCCTTTCGCGTGCTCCTCTACACGCCCCTGGTTTCGCCCCCCCCCTAAGAAAATACCCTAGCGCCGCCCCTGGTAGTAGTAGTAGTAGTAGTAGTAGTAGTAGTAGTGTAGTTAGTAGTAGTAGTAGTAGTAGTAGCAGTAGGCAGTAGCAGTAGCAGTAGGCAGTAGCAGTAGCAGTAGCAGTAGCAGTAGCAGTAGCAGCAGCAGCATCATCATCATCATCATCAGCAGCAGCAGCAGCAGCAGCAGCAGCAGTAGTAGTAGTAGTAGTAGCTCAGTAGCAGTAGCAGTAGCAGTAGCAGTAGCAGTAGCAGTAGCAGTAGCAGTAGGCAGTAGCAGTAGCAGTAGCAGTAGCAGTAGCAGCAGCAGCAGAAGCAGCAGCATCATCAGCAGCAGCAGCAGCAGCAGCAGCAGCAGTAGTAGTAGTAGTAGTAGTAGTAGTAGTAGTAGCAGTAGCAGCAGCAGCAGCATCATCATCATCATCAGCAGCAGGCAGCAGCAGCAGTAGTAGTAGTAGTAGTAGGTAGTAGTCAGTA